GCGCGAGTCTTCGATGCGGAGGACGATGTACACCACGCTGAGGAGGAAGCCCGCGCCGCTGATACTGAACACGCCCACGTAGCCGAAGTGGGAGAAGATGAGATTGCTGAGGAAGAGGCCCAGAGGAGCGCCGACGAACATCGCGAAGTCCAGGAAAGCGATGCGGAGGGTGCGGGACTGGAGGCCTGAGAGGTCGGACACGTACGAATAAGTGGCCATGAGGAGGGTAATGAGGCCGCCACTCAGACCTCGGGGGATGCCGGCCAGGACCACCAGTTCCACGGGGAGCCACCACAGCAGGGCGTTCGTCTGTGGGAATTGATATTGGGGTTCTTCTGTAGACTCTGAGGGACGGTGTTTGTGTTACATTATAATGGGAAGTGAAATTACTGGCATTGGTGTTGCTGCACATTTGATAGAAAATGGTAAATTAGGTAGTAAACGTAAAAGTTACTGTTCTGTTAACGCTAAGTCTGATAATAATCAAAATAGGCAACGGGAAAATACCAGTGGTGAAAATAATGGTGATGATTATAATGAAATCAATAATACTGACAGCACTAATGATACTGATAAATGATACTAATGCGTAGGCTGCTGTTACCGTCAATTCACAGTAACAATTATACTGATAAGAGATACAACAAAGTCCGGGATCTACAACTGCACCCACTGTTGCAAATGACAATTACAAAACTAATTACATAGCAATACCAATAATGCAATAATAACAGCTATGACCACAGCAGGACACAGCCAATAGCATTCTCACCATGTAAATGGCAGTCGCCAAGAAACTCCCAACAAAGGGAAGTAACATGGGCAGTTTTCTCCCGTATTTATCGCTCCAGGAACCCAGCACGAGGACGTAGAGCACAGCGGGCATGTTGGCCACTAGCTCCTGCACCATCAGGAGCCAGGTGGCCTCGCGCTGGATGGCGCCTTCTTCTGGGGCTCCGAGGCTGGAGATGTTTTGGCACTCGGCGGAAGTGTGGTTGTGCCGCCTCTCGCATACCTGTGAGGAGGGTCATGGTCACGGACGGCTGGTTGAATGGAAAGTGGCTGATGTCCATGTGTTGTTCGTAGATCGTATTCGATGTGGTGATTGTGGAAGCAGTGCTTGTGTGGAAAGTGAATTGGCTTGTACAACTACACGCTGTCAGTTAACTCACTCATACAGGGATATAGACACTAACAAACACGCAAGCACACACACACACACATATATATGTAAACACGTGTGTGTGCGTGTGTGTGTGCATGTGTGTATGTATGTATGTATTTATGTATGTATGTATGTATGTATGTATGTGTGTATGTATGTATGTATGTACGTACACACACAGCAGCTAAAATAAGACGCAGAAGACGGGGGTATGTAGGCCTAAGGTATTTTTTTTATTACATGGGTTTGCTTTTACTTCGTTGTTTCTTCTGGAGAAGTTAATTCAGTTGGTATATTTGTATAATGATCATAAGAACGCGAGTGACGCCATTTGTAAAATTGTGAAACGAACTGTAATGTTATATCTGAATGATTCTGAATGTTATTATTTTTTAATGATAATACGACTAAGACATTCATATTATAATATAATAAATTACACTTTATTATTAGCTTGGGACAGCTCTTGCACTGTGTGTGTATATGTATGTGTGTGGATAGATATATGTATGTCTGTATGTATGTGGTAAATATAGATACATATATCTGTGCTGTGTATGTGTGGACGTATGTATGCATTTACATCAATATTCATACATTCATCGATATATTCATAAACCTCTCATTTATGTCATATGCATTTATACATTAACATTATAAGTGAGACAAAGAAACTGAGGACGACCGTACGTTAAAGATACTAAACCCATCGATACCAAAGTCTTATCTAGGAGAACACAAAGGGGCATCAGATATGTTAACGGCCTTCAGTCGAGTAATATGTTTGTAAGGATTTTCTCTACAAAAGTTATAAAGCGTACGGCTCTTAAACAACCAAGGCTTTTACGAACTACTAAGATTATTGTGTATTATTACGACACGATTCTTCAACACGAAATATAAGAATAACATACGACAAATTGATAAATCATATACAGTGAGTACCTTCATGTTATCTATATCGTAGATTAAGTCCATTCGTGTAAAATACATAAAAAAACATGTATTGCTCATTAGTAGTTTATAGGAATAAATTGCCAAATGCTTTAGCACCGTATCTAACTCAAAAATATGAAACGTCTTAACATGTACAGTAGTCTACAAATACGAAATGAATAACTACAACAACAAAGGACTCATTATCAGGTAGTAAAACCCCACCTCTGTTTTGACGTCTGATGAGTCTAAGGCATAATATTGGTGTGATTTTTCCTTACAAGTTTCTTCCCAATAGTTTAATGAAGAAATATGAGTGATGGATATGGCGTGGATATGTCTAAGTTATCATTTTCTGACATATTAACATAAGTCTGACCAGACGTAGGATGTAACATTACAGCGTTTTTACGGTGAAAAATTATATCGTCAAAATTACTAAAATATTACAGAAAGCCAAACTGACTGTATAACTAGGATACCAAATCAAAGTACTAACAATTAATAACATTCAGGGAAAAGAAACAGACAAATAAATATATACATGACTCACAATAAATATATAAAATACTAGAAACAAAATAAAAATACCCGCCTATTTCAGGGAAAAGAAACAGACAAATAAATATATACATGACTCACAATAAATATATAAAATACTAGAATCAAAATGAAAATACCCGCCTATTTAACTAATTGCACAAAAATATCATCGGACCAAAAATGAGAACATTCAGAACTTTCCTCACCTTTTCAAGCACAAGGTTCGTCACGAGCGTCGTCTGCAGCGTCCAAGCCAACACGTTCAACAGCATAAAAGGCTCAACCGTCACGTTCTTCAAGATGAACCTTAGACGTTCTCGAACTCTGGATCTCCTCCTGGTGAACGTATGCGTTGGATTGTCCGGTGGATAATTGTACAGTCTTGGATAATCGCCAGGGTTAAGCAGTGGCGTTCTTTCCTTGTGATAGTCTCCCGTTTCCAAAATGGGGATTGATTTGCTATTCGTACCCATCTTTCGTCAGACACATTCACGCTTCACACTTCGATCAAACTTGGTTCTAAGTTATATCTATATAAGTTATATAAGTCATATCTAGTAGATATTTGTTCTCGTTAACCGTGGGTGCATTCTGGCAGTTCGGACATATGCTGCAAGGTAATCGTGGAGACAAATGTAAAACAGGTTGGTTTTAATGACTATAATTAATAACTACAACATAGAGAGAAATAGAGATAATGATTATCATAGTAATAGTAATGGCGATAATAATAATGTCCATAACGTTAATGATGTAAATAAATATGGTAAGAAGAAGTATGACAACGATAATGTCCACGAAATTAATATAATCAATGATAATAATAATGACGATGATGACGATAATAATAATAATAATAATAATAATAATAATAATAATAATAATAATAATAATAATAATAATAACACCAACAATTATTATTATCATTATGATGATAAAAATAATACGAATTTCGATAACAATTAAAAGAATTGCAATGGTAATAATGATCCTAAGAATTATAAATCCATTAATGCATAATATATACAAATAAGTTTAAGCATACTAATGATGATAACGATTAAATGACGTAGTTTACAATTCATATAATTACACTATTGGTAAATAACTAGCAACAACATGGCGTATATAATATCGAAATCTTGTGCTATTCATCCAAAAGTATAAATACGAAGAAATAGAAATATATATACTAATAATAATATCATAAATAAGAATTGCTAATAATAATAATGATAATAATAATAACAACAATGGTGATATAATGATATTGATAATAATAATAATGATAATGATGATAATAATAATGATATTGGTAATAATAATGATAATAATAATGATAATAGTAATGATATTGATAATAATAATGATGATAATGGTAATGATATTGATAATAATAATGATGATAATGGTAATGATATTGATAATAATAATGATAATAATGATGATACTAGTTATCAGATGCTGATAATGATAATGATGTAGTTGATGACTGATAATGATGAGATGATGACAATAGTAATAATAATAACGATGACGACGACGATGATGATGATAACAAAAATAATAAAAAATATCCGGCCGACAATACCCCATATTTTCACCGGCAGTGAATGACCCTCCCCACCTGTGACGTCATACCCAAAACCTGGTGTGCGAACGGTTGCAGCGAAGCGCGTACAGGGAGGTCCTCTAAGTTTTTGTCTGTAGCTCTCAAGTCTTGGCGGGATTTTGTCTTCTGCCTTGTTTATTTATCTATCTATTTTCTTTTATTTGTGTGTCTATTTCTGTTATTATTGTATTTTCATTTTTTTTTTTTTTTTTTTTTTTTTGCTTAAGGAATATGATGGTGAAAGGGGGGGGGGGTGATGTGAAAGATGGAAATGGGGATAAAGAAGGGAAAGGAAAGAAAATGTTAAGTAAAATAGAGAAAATGAAAGAAGTGTTTATAAAGAGGGAGATAGATAGATGAACAGACAGACAGGAAGAGACAGAGACAGATAATGAGAAAGAGAGAGAGCAAAAGAGAAACAAAATGAGATAAAGGTGGCAAAAAAATGTTTGTAAAATATCACATGGGTGTACACAAGCCTTTATCATTCCTCAACATAACTGGACGTAAACAAAGCCATGACTAACCTCTTTTTATTGACACGGAATTAACAACGCGATATTTCCGAATCAAGGTGTAAAATGTATCGGAAACTTTCTCGAGGTTAGAGATCTATTTTCCTCGAAATTCAGTCCCATCGCGAAACACTTGCTTTCCACACTTCACAACACTTTTCACAGTATCCGATTTCTCACACGGAGTACCCCAGTGATAGCGCCCTTGGCGGGTCTTCTCGTCTCCGAA